CTTTATTTATACCCATAGGTAGATTTGTTTTGCAGTCAGATCAGATCAGATGGCATCCTTAAACATTCACAAAATTCCACAAACATAAACACCACACACATACCCTGAACGTAGCAGAAATGGAAATACTCGAAACTCAAAGATACAAACCTCACATAAAAACAAAACCTAAAAATCATATTATACAATGTATTACTGCAGCTTATTCAGCTCTATAACAGCAAAAGCTACATTTATATCGCTTTGTTTTACAACTCGGAACTACAAACCTCCGGCCAGAAGCAAAAAATAGCAGCACGGGGGATGGGAATCATCTTTTAAAATAGAAGTAGCCATCCTCTGTACTTGTCTACTATACAGGGTTGCCACACTTGGCTGAGACTCCCCTAGCAGCCGACCAGACCACTTAACTAATGCAGCTTATTCAGCTCTATAACAGCAAAAGCTACATTTATATCGCTTTGTTTTACAACTCGGAACTACAAACCTCCGGCCAGAAGCAAAAAATAGCAGCACGGGGGATGGGAATCATCTTTTAAAATAGAAGTAGCCATCCTCTGTACTTGTCTACTATACACGGTTGCCACACTTGGCTGAGACTCCCCTAGCAGCCGACCAGACCACTTAACTAATCGATCTAAGGCTGTCCTCTGTCTTAGAGGTATCTGACCAAACCATGACACCAAGGAAAATGATAAAATAGATTCAATAAAAGCTTGATAAAACATATTAAAGTTCAATCAATGTGAAAGTGTGCGAGTTTCCTTAAACAATGTAGATGTTGCTGACCCTTTTTACACACCCTTTCACAATTCTCTTCAAAACTCAATTTATTATCAATGATCGTCCCAAAGTATTTCTATGATTTCACAGACTCAATAGTCTGCCCTTTAAAGTGACTTCCTGCCTGTGAGGTTTCTTTCTGAAATCAATAAGCATATCTTTAGTTTTTGCTAAGTTTAGTTGCAGGTAGGACTCCTCACACCAGCCAACAAAATCATCCACAACTGAACCGTGGCTATTTTCACCATCCCGAAGAAGACTGACAATAACTGCATCATCAGCATACTTTATGATTGTTCCATTGTCCCATCTACTCTGCCACATATTTGTATAAAGAATAAAAGGTAACTGTGACGGCACACACCCTTTGGGAGATCCAGTAGACGAACCCCTTCGATCAGACAATACACTATTGACCCTAACTCTCTGTGTACGATTAGTTAAAAAATCTAAAATCCAACCCGCCAGGTTATTACTCACATTGAATTGTTGTAAAAGCCTATCAATTAAAATGTGGGGCTGAATAGTATTAAAGGTGGAAGAAAAGTCCACAAATATTTGTTGGAAAAATATCGGATTTTTCATTACCCCTGCTCAAAAAAGATATCAAGGAACTGGAGATGTGGCCACAACGGGGCGAATCACTTCTTAATCTTTTGGAATTGTGAAGTTGTTCACACATACTGGTCTGAGATCCATGAACATTTACAAAACATTTTCAATTACCATACCATTAACATTTGAAACCATGTATCTGGGTAATATAGTAATTGATGGGTTTAATAAGAAGGACAAGAAATTACTATATATTCTGCTGGCCGCGAGCAAAAAAGCTGTCTCACGAAGATGGATTAAACCTGAACAACCAACAACCGATGACTGGAAGGACATCATACAAGAGATTTATACAAGTGAAAAAAATTGCCTTTGCACTCAGACTGCAGGAGGGCGCATTTTGTCAGATATGGTCGAAATGGACGGAATATGTGAAACCTGTCTTTGTGTAAAACCACTGGGTGCCTATGTAGTAGTGAAGCTACATTGACTATCTATACACAGTGAGGTACCAATAGAGAAGAGGTTCCCCTGCCCCGGTCATGTTCTTTGTTTGTTGTTGTTTTTCATTTTGTTTTTCTGGTTTTTTAAAAAAAAAAGCAAAAGTATTGTATGGTAATACATTGCAGATTGTATTCATTATGCAGCGTGCTTTTTCAATAAAAAAGTAAATTGGGGGGAAAACAAAGTCCACAAATAAAAGCCTGGCATGTGTCCCACTTTGATCCAAATGTCTATAAAGCATATTTAGCAGAGTAATTGTAGCATCCTCCACTCCTCTATGAGGCCTATATGCAAACTGCAGAGGATCCAATACCTGTTCAGTCTGCCTCAGGACCTCCGATCTGACCAGTCTCTCAAAAGTTTTCATTAATACCGAAGTCAGAGCAACTGGTCTAAAATCATTCATAATTATAGGACTATTGGTTTTAAGAACAGGGATAACAACAGCATCTTTCCAGAGCTTAGGCACATATTGTGTCTGCAAAGACTTATTAAAAATGTACTGAAACACAGGACTTAATTCATGTGCACAGAACTTCACTAGGCGCCCACATCCATTATTGGGGCCACAAATTTTATTTGCTTTCACAGCACAGAACGCCTTTTTGACATCTTGCAGCTCAGTGTTAAGATGCAAAGAGTCTTTAAGTCTCTGTTTCAGTTCCTGGGTTTCAGTACTGAAATCAAAAGAATCAAAATGGCAAAAAAAACCATTAAGAGCATTGGCCAGCTCCATATCTGAATTACAACCAGCTAAAAAGACACGAGTATTGCGCTCTGTCTGCAGACCTGCAATAGTCTTCATACTTGTCCAAGCGGAACCAAGTCTGTTTGCTGCCATCTTGCTTTTCAATTCTGATTTATAATTTTGCTTTGCTCTCAAGATTTCAGCCTTGAGCTCTCTTGTCACTACCTGCAGATCAGCACCTCCCCCCTGTTTAAAGGCCAGTGCCTTCCTGTATAAACAGGATTTAATTGACTTGGTAACCCATGGTTTATTGTTAGAATATATTTTGACCTGCTTACATGGAATAATCATATCCCTACAAAAAGTCATGTCACAGTGGTGACATAGTAGCTGCTGCCATCAGGTGCACAGTTTTATTAGGCTTATTCTTTTAAACATATGCTTGGTGTTACTGAGCAGACGCCCAGGAGTTCCCAGCATGCCCCTGCAGCAGGTCTGTAGGTTTTTCTGCACAGTTCTTCGTCTTTGTGTGTAGTCAGCTGTTTGTACCTGTGGCAGACTGAGCTGTCTCTCATCTAAAAGTAGGGATTTGACTGAGGCTTGTGTGGCGTCTGCGCGCACACACACACACACACACACACTGCTGTGTCTGTTGTTTTTATTTTTTCCGTTTCCTCACTCAATTGTTTTTCCTTATTTCCCCCCCCGCCGCCGTCTCCCATAATTCAGCTCTCCTCTTCGCCACCCAAAGGCTCCCAGATGCACTTCTCTGTTATTTCCACTGACAGCTGCAGCAGAGCGCCAAGGCCTCAGCCGTGATATGACTGATGGCAGGGTTTTGTGACAACAGATGAGCTGTGAAGCTCCGAGCTCTGCTGTCCACCCCTGAGTCGCTCGGCGCCCTCTCGACCTGGCCGCCACCTCAGGAGGAACAAGGCAGAGCAGAATGAGTCACTTATCAGCACTGTGCTTAGATAACTGCTTCATTTGCACACATAATTATGGAGGCTCATTCTGCATGCTGCCCTGATGAGTGGCTCTTCATCTCGTCATGGAGTCTTTGGCTGCCGGCGTTTGGCCGACGAAGACTTCAGTCCCTGCTTGCTCTCACGAGCAGAGGTCACACAGTTAGCTACTTGGGTCCGTCTGTGTTTCTGTGTCAGAATTGGTCTGGCCCATCTCACCTGGGAGTCCAGTGCAAGCAAAACATGAGTATGAGTCTTCCTGTAATGCCCACACAAAGCAAAGAGCCAAAGAACTTACAGCTTTGTTAGGTTCACCTGTGTTCTGTCAGGTCACGTGGAGAAACCTCCAAGCAGTGCAGACAGGGTGTGAAGAGATGGCACCGAGCCCGGACGTGATGGGTGCTCTGACCGCAGCTGCTCGGTGGTCGGCCCAGTCAGACAGACGGGGCAGAAACACTGTGCTCGTGAGGTGTGTGTGCTCATCAGTGGAAATGCAACAGGAAGCTCAGTATCATTTCTACCATCCTTCATATACCCAGTTTATTTCCTGCTG